AAGGGAAGCCTCACGGGAAGAAGAAAATATTTACAAGTCAGGGTGCTCTTGTTCTGAAATCCTCCTTGGAATCAGGTCTGATCGTCCCCCCTAAGGCACCGACTCTCTCCCAAGGGGAAGGATGTTGTACGCTGGATGCTGGAACTGCAGGAATTTCACGCAGCAAGAAATTTGTTCTCCCCCAGAATCTGTGTGAGAGAGAGAGAGGCAGGCCCTCCCTTTGCTCTTGGGTCCTAATCTTCTTGCCCAAGACATCGTATGACAATGTACCCCAAAAAGATGGGATCTGAGTGCTCTGGGGAGAAGCACAGGGAAAAAGAGCCTGGATACAACAGGGCCCAGCCGCAGAGCAGAGTCAAACAATAGCACCTCAGACATCACTCTTTTAAGTGTCTAGAAGAGAGGCCAACTGCAAGTTTCAGCAAATAATTAAACCCATTCTTCCCTGGAAGCTCACAACTAGTAACTACACCTACGACACTACACGAACAGGCACCGTTTGACCTTAGGTTTCATTTAGACAGACATACCAAATTCAAGCCACTTGGTAAAAAGTCACCCCCTGCCTCAGAGCACAGGTCTCGTCTTGGGCTTGTAACACAGAACTTGTACTTTGAATATTTCCTTATGCTTCAGCATGATCTGCACGATTTGAGTCTAAATGTTTACCTGTAGTAAGTGGCCAAAAAGCAACAGCGCTGCTCCCACACTGGATCAGAGGGGACAAGCACGAGGTTACTCTGTTTCCCTCTCAGCCATTCTCTTGTCACCCTGCCGCCCTGTCTCTGCCGTGATCGCAGCCACCCACGTGCACCCTGCAGGCACCAGCAGCACAGCCTCACCTCGTTCTCCTCCTCGTTGTGCAGAGGCTGGGTATAAGCTTCTGGCTTCCGGATCAGAGGGTCCACCAGCACAAGGAAAGCCATGTAAAGCAGCAGTGCCCCCACGACGGACAAGTAAATGATGATGATCACCTGCAGTTAAGGACAGCACAGTGGGAAAGGATCAGTAGTGTAGATAAGAAGCACCACTGAGGCCAGGAAGCTCCCTTCACAGCTGCCTCTGATGTTTGATCTCTTCTCTCATTCTAATTTTGTTCAATAGAAAGCCTCCTGCACTTGCAGGAAGCCCAATGAGATGTAAGTGCCATCACTGCATAAACCATGCTGATCTTCTCCACACTGTGCCAATTTAGGACATGTGCTGCATGTGAAAGGAGACCAACAAGATGGGTCCCCAGTCAGAGGTGCTTGGCACTGTCACACATCCTCGGCAAGAAGCCTGGGCTCCCGCACAGCCTGCTCCTCACTGCCAGGAGCCCTCCTGACTCTGACACAGTGCTCTTGGCATTACTGCCATGTACTAGCTGCGATAGTTTTATTTTTCCTTTCTGGGCTCTTCCGCAGGAACCCAGCAGTCTAGCTGTGCCTGGGATGGCACGGCATGGCAAGGAGAAGGAGCCAGCCACAGGGAAGAGACCTGCAATTACCTTGATGGTGGTGGTGCTGCGCTCCTCGTACTTGCATTCACACAACAGGCAGTAGGCCTCCACATCGTTCCCTGGCACCGGCATTGGCTCCACAACATGCAAGCAGTTGCTGCAACACAAAGAAACCGAAATCAGCAACAGGACAAGGTGAAAGCAATACTCTGTAGAAGGATTCTGGGGTGACTTTTTCCATGTCCCAGCTTTCCCATCAGGCTGATAACGCTGATCCAGTTTTAAGAGTTCTCCTCACTGCTCCGCTAGCCCAAAGCTCCTGAGACAGACTGTCCAAGTGCCTCCTGCAGAGATCTGGTCCAGATGAAAGGGATCGGAGTGTACACCCTACATCTGCTGAGAGCCGCGGCTTAAGAAATCATGCCTCCCAGATTCCTCAATCTCTGTTCAAAAAATGCTTCTCGCCTGGATTGAACATCACCTACCAAACCGGCTTCCTCTGCAAATGCCCAGGCAGGGAATTACTTAGAACTCCGGAGCATTGACTTTCATGGACCGAACCCTCAGGCTTCAACCCACAACTCACCAGTCCTTCTGCGACACATTCTTGTTGTAAATGTGCCCACTGATGTTCCGGTACGGGGGACAGATGCACTTGCAGCGGATGTCCTCCGAGCTCTGCAGAAGCAAGAGGAGATGGCATTAGTGAGTAAACATGTGCGTAAGTTCTGCTGCCCTCAGCACCCAGCGGTGTGGGGAAAGGCAAAACATTCTCTAAGAGAGGGAGGACTTCACGCCATGTCTCTTCTTCCTGTGCTGTTGCTTTGACATCAATAACTTCACAGTTTTAAAATGTCTTGAGCTCCTCTGCTCCAGACACCACGTACTTTTCAAACAAATTTTAAAATGCAAACTCCAAAAGACAGCAGAAGGCAGGGCAGAGGCTACTCTCACATACATTCACAGCTCTACATATGATAAATACACATCTGCTATAGCATTCCTTAACTTTGCAAACTTCCACAGAAAAACAGTTGCTTCTCTGCCATTTTTGTTTCTGTTGTACTACACACATGCAGCGCTCGTGTCTGAAGCTGTTCACTTGCCTTGATGGCTTGTGCTGGAGGCGAAAGGATGCAACACAGCAGCATGATCATCAGCACGGAGCTCGCAAACTTCCAGGTACACTGGGCAAACATCATGGAAGCCTGAGGAAACAAAAATTCACATCCAGAATAGAGGATCTCAGCTGAATACAGCCAGAATGGATTAGCTTGAGCTTTCCTTTTTGGCCCACTTGTCTCTATTTTGCCCAGGAAGTAGAAATTTATCTCTGAATCAAGGCTGATGCCAGTCAGAAACTCCCGGAAACACTTTACACAGATCCCAGCAAACAGTCCTATCAAAAAAAGCTTCCACCCCCTAGAGCCACACATCCAAACTACCACAGTGCTGCAAAAAATATTGCTGGCTTCCTTACAGTTTGACTTCTGCAACTCTACATAACCTCCTGTTAGTCTCTTGTGGAGCTCTGCAACAGGTATTTTGCTGCTGACAGTTTTGCCCAGTAAAAGATACAGAACCACAAAAACCACAGACCAAGAGTGACCTATAGAAGTACACTGGGGTCTCATTGCTGTATTGTATAATAAATGTTAAATCATTCATCTTCCGATACTTAAAGTTTTGCTTCTGAAGGGGTCAGCATATTTTCCTCTCTTGCAAGCCATGAACTTTAGCAAGGGGTTGGAATATTTACCAATTCCTAAACTCCTTTACCCCAAGATACCCGTTCAGTAAAAATCTAATTTTTTAAAATTATTTCAAGTTGCTAGCTTGGTGAATTCATTAAACGCCTTTTGCTACATATGCGTAGATAAAGTTGTTCTAGAGATGTGTGTTTGCACGAATCCAAAAGAATATGAGTTCATTTTCTTTGCCACGAAAGCAAAGTTAGGCTTAAGAAGGCTGACAATCAGCACGGTTGGAGACAAAAGGCACAGCAGGCCCCAAGGTGTCACCTTGGGGAGAGCTGAGAAAAGCCACTTCAGCACAGCTTTATTCAGGGAAGGTAATTTACACCTTCATTAATCAGCTCCATACGACATACGTAATCCCACAGCTAACTCCAGGTACTTACACTCTATTACCTAACATAATTCCATTAGTATTTACATCACTGGAATATTCTATCACTGTTTGCTTTATCTTGTATCAACACTCTAAAAATTAACATTATGGATTACAAACACTAAGTTCCTATCTTCTTTAAACAAAACACCAGCATTTCCAACAAACTGACCTGCCAAAACCCGTCAAAATGCATTCCAGTCCTATCAGCTTATCCCAGGATTTCTTAACCCTTCGCACCTCAGTTAGCAGAAACCTCCTCAAACAATGGTTCTTTCTTCGGAGACACCCTTGCACATCAGGGTTTCAGCTCTTCATCAAAAATGCTGGTTAACGTATGACTTATTTGAGCTGCACAGTGCACATTCCCCATTGTAAGTGGTTTTGGCCTACTACTTGCTTGAATTTTTAACTCGACAACAGAGCGCGTACCTGGAATTTAGTTTTAGCCTGCTTAAGTAAATTCATATAATCCAAACAATTCATAACGGTCATTTTTTACTAAAAGCAGGGGAAAAGACATGATTTATTACACCACGTTTACCAGTAAGAAAATAAAAACTTGGAATGCCACCTAGACAGAGTCCAGCCATCACGAGCTGTGGAACACCAGCAGCCACACAATTTACTCACAATTTACTCACAGTTCTTTCCACGTTTGACAGCGTACGTTCAAAGGGGCACTTGCACACCTGCCTTAAAGCTAGTGTGCTCCAGACGATCAGCCAAGCTTACAGCAGCCATCTGTCTAAAAGCACCTGTATCTGGGCCAAAACCCAACAGCACTGCGAATGACACCGGAGGAGAGGGACCCACGTGTGGTCGAGGTCTCGGAGGTGGTGACTGAGGAGCGTGGCAGCTCCCAGGCATGAAAGCCCCCCAAAAGGAGGCCCACAGCACAACTGCACACCCTCACGCTGTGACCCCTTCTCCCTGGGAACACCCCCAATAAACTCTTCACCTTTTAACATCACCTGGAGCCCTTCTAAGACCAAATCTGTGGTGGCTCGGACATGTTGCCCGACACTGAGCCGACCCACTTGGACCCCTGATCCCACGCCAGGACCAGGCCCCTTCGCAAGGAGCTGGGCCTCCCCTGGAGGCGACCCCTC